AGTGACACAATGACCCTCGTAAATCCTGCTCGAAGGCAGGGAACCTAGAGCCATACCAGATAAATAGAGAGCAAGAGCAAATGGAAGATGGAGGCAAACCACAGTCTGAGTGAGGCACCACATATAGAAGAGGTCGCCAGAAGGAAACTTGTCACACTCCTCGTGATGACAAATAGTACAGGCAACCAATCGGTGGATCAACCGATAAATAGGAACTCTCCTTGGCCGTCCTAGAGACATAGGTCCCCATAGCATGACCCCGGACCTGCATGTAGCTATACTCATGTGGTGGCTCGGTAATACAGTTGTCAAGATAAGCATAAAAATGAGGACTCACAGTCTCCTCCACTGTATAAATCCCTAGACGTCTCCCCAGCTCGACCAGGCTGCAAGAGTGGGATACGCCTCCTAGGTGAAAAGTAAAGACTGATCGATCAGCCCGTCTTGTCGATGTATTGTGGAAGAAGACTGTTGAAAATAACTCCCAACAAAGCTCCTTGTAAATCACCTCCCGAACCCCAACAAATATGCTGCCATCCATGGCACACAAAAAGCTCAAGAACGCTATCATCCCGCAAGACATGGGTAAGGAATGTCTCTAGACAAGTTGTCAAACCAGACTCGTCCGCATCCTTCCAGGAAAGAGCCTGAGGAAAGCCGATATTCTTGGACAGAAGAGTGATCAGACGAGAGACGAAAGAACTCCGATCAAACAGATCATCGGGGAACTGTAGGAATGGGTGTGATGGCCAGTTAGGAGGTAACTGACCCGCAACTTGTCGACCTTTTCTTGACATATCTGTAGAAAAATAGACAAAAAACAGTTAGGAATAAGCTAGAGTAGTTAAATGCTGTAAAAGGTGTTGAAATAGACCAAGTGCGCAAAGGTGCGTGCTGCATGCGAGTGCATGCAGTGCATATTCCTCTACGCGACGTGCTCCAAGAAAACGAAGAACAAAAGGTTTGGAAAACTATTGTTTTGTCTAATTTTCAACACAATAACCACGTAGGGATGTTCGAATAAGCTTCTAGAGCACAAATAAGTAGCTCATTTCGCTTAAAACATTGCCAATTTAAGGATTTAGCTAAAAATTCAGAAAAATTTTCAAATTGTAAAAACTCAAAATGAGGAACAATGGATGAAATAAACTCAAAATTAAGTATCTAGGAAGTAAATAGGTAGTATGGTTAGCTAAATTACTCATTTATTTCACAAAATTTAACCAAAATCCATCAATTGATAAAAACCTCCAAAAAGTCCTAAACATGAAATTTAGCCTAAATATTATACTGGATTAAGTAAGAAGGATACCTGAAAGTAGAGGAGTCGAAAGAGATGTAGAAATTGAAGTTTTGGACCAGGCGCGCGATGCATGCAGCGTGTGTGTGGGACCCAATCTAGACAGAATAAAGGGGGGGGGGAAGGAATATTGGAAAGGTATAGAATGAGGCCAAAAACCAACTTTAATGCTGATATGCTGCAAGTGCACGCGACGCACATCGTATGCTCGATGTGTAACACCTAGTTCCTGGTATGTATTTAATCAAAGATTTATTCACTTTTGTATAGAAACTCGACGGGTTGGAGGCCCCAAAATCGTCGAGTAGGAATGAAATTGGACGCAGGATGTGAAGTCTACTCGACGAGTTGAGAGAACCAACTCAACGAGTAGGACTGGCAGAGTGAAACCCTAATTTTTATGGTTTTGCACCCTATTTAAACACCTTAACCTCGAAAGGTTGGCCTCATTTACAAGCTCCAAGTCCCAAAACCTAAATCTCGAAACCCTAATGCTTTTTCTGAGTTTGTGAGCCATCCTTGAGAGAGTTTTGTGTGGTTGAAGCTTGTGGAAGAAGAAGAAGCTTGAGGATTCAAGAAGAAGCTAGTAGATCTAGAGATACCACTTCATTCTCATCATTTTCTGGTAAGCAAGTCTCAAACTTCCTTAGTGAATTCTTAGATCTCCTTATTATCACTTTATTAAGTTTTTGGTCCAAGAAGCATGATCTTGGGGAAATGGACGTCCCAAGTGAGTATACATTCAGATTTAGAACCATGGAGGGCTTTCATGGCAGAAAGGTGCAAACTTTATGGCCATTGAAGCCCCATGCAAGCTTTAGCATGTCATTTTGGCCTTTTAATCTCCAAAAGGCCATGCATGGATGGAAATTTAGAAGCTTTATGTAATTCTGAAGTATCTAGGGTCCAGATCTCAGTGTGTATGCCTTATTTTGGAGTATTGATGGCTTGTGGACCAAGATCTAGGTCCTAAAGAGTTAGGGTTTGAGCTAAATCCATTAAGTAAGGGTATTAACGGGTAAAGTTGGAAACTTTACCCTTAAAAGGACAATTTCAGTGTATATGTTGAGTATGGAGCGTAGATCTGAAGAATAGAGGCTTAATCCATTAAGATGAAGCAACAGACTGAAGAACTCAGCGAGTTCATAGAGGAACTCGAAGAGTTGGTTCGATTTGTCCTGATTTTGTAAAGGACAGAACTCGGCAAGTCTAAGGTAGGACTGGAGGAGTTGACTCGTTTTATCATGACTGAGAGTAGCATTGAAACTCGGTGAGTCAGGGGAATGACTCGATGAGTTGAGTCTACTGAGGGTCGAATTTGACTTGACTGGACTGGACGTTGACTTTGACTTTGACCAAGGTTAACCCGTGAAGGGGGTTTTGAGTATGGAATGGTATATAAAAGGATATTATGTATAGGGTGTGAGCAGAGTCGGTTGCGGAGTAGAGACGTTTCAGCTATTAACATGACATTAAGGTGATTTTCCTCCTGTAGGAACGAGTCTAATCCACCAATGCGGGCCCGTGTAGAGTATGTGATGATTAGTAGCTAAGTATGGGCAGGGCCCGTATCTTAGCCTTATTTATGATTAGTAGCTAAGTGTGGGTTGGGCCCGTATCATAGTATTATTTGAGTATGAATATGAATTGGTAGATTATGGTTATACTTGTTGTCTGCGTGATACTTGTATGTATGTTTTAGTTAGCAGAGTGTGGGCGGGGGCCTGTATCTTCTGGATAGCGGAGTGTGGGAGAGGCCCGTTGTGACATCCCCATTTTCACAGCCAGAAAAGACCGATTTTGTTTATGATTTATAAAAATCAGAGTACCTCTTTTAGTGAAAATGTTGCGAAATTTGTTCCCAGTAAAACATGATAAATGCGTTATCAAAACATTTCCGAAGAAATGTAATTTTATTCATTTTAAAACATTTGGGATGTCATCGTCAACACAGAAACATAAGCATAAACAGAACTTACATTCATTTACACTAGTGATCTACATCTCTTTAATCTCTCAGTGTAATCTAACTTCGTATCGACACCTGTGATACAAATAAGCTTGAGTGGGTCAGGTTGGGAAACTTGGTGAGTACACAGGGATTTCAATCCCACAATGTTATATCATATATATAATTTAAAACTCACAAAATATACAATTTCACCATATATATATAAGCAACTCTTACCTCACCCCGTTAATCCTTACAACGAGACTATCCATACTCTCGGACCTTAAATTTTACCTGTCACTTAACCCATAGTCTCAGATCTAATTCATGCTCTCGAATCAATAATTGAGCCCATTCCATACTCTCGGATTAGGGACAAGTGTCTATGTGTAAATCCATTATCCCGAATTAACGATGAATGACTATGTCCTATCCATACTCCCGGACTGAGGACGACTGACTATGTCTTAATCCATACTCCCGGACTAAGGACAACTGCCTATGTCTTAATCCATACTCCCGGACTAAGGACAACTGACTATGTCTTAATCCATACTCCCGGATTAATGACAGTTGACTATGTCCAATCCATACTCTCGGACTAGGGACAATGACTATGTCTAATCCATGCTCCCGGATCAATGACATATACTAAAGTTCTATTCTCTGAGTATAACTCACTCGTACTCATAAGAAAATACTACCCAATATTCCTCATAATTAATTTAGGTTTAATCTTTAACCTAAATCATCATATATAATCAGGTATGTTCTTTAACACGTATTTCAGGCAACATCAGTTAACTCGCACATAAACATATAATTAATACTTCAATCAATACTTGTATTAAAATCATGTTCATGAAAGGGACTATGCACTCACACATAAACTCTTTAACAAATATTTAACTCTTTAACATATATTTAATACTTTAATTAATACTTGTATTAAAATCATGTTCATGAAAGGGACTATGCACTCACACATAAACTCTTTAACATATATTAAATACTTTAATTAATACTTGTATTAAAATCATGTTCATGAAAGGGACTATGCACTCACTTGATAAGGTGGTGACTCGGTACTCGGACAACGCTTCGTTTACTTTAAAATAATTTCCTTCGACGAAACCTAGTATTATTACCACTAGATTTTAGTCTACTATTTACCGTGACTAATTATTAGTCTTATCATTATTCACTACTAGAAAAATAGTCTTTTACGACGCGCAATGCGTGTCGTAAAAGGCTCAGACGACGCGCAAATGCGTGTCAAGAAAGGCCCTGTCATAACGAGGGACGACACGCTTTTGCGCGTCGTCTATTTACGACGCGCATTTACGACGCACAATTACGACACGCATTTACGACGCGCGTTTACGATATGTATTGCGTATCAAGGAAGGCCCTGTCATAAATGAAGATGACACGCATTTGCGTGTCGTAACCTTACGACGCACATTTACGACTCGCAATGCGTGTCATTAAAGCCCCTGTCAAGAAAGGTCATGTCATAAATGAAGATGACACACATTTTTGCGTATCATAATTTTATATGTTTAAAAAAATATTATTTATATATTTACTAATTTTCAAATTAAATTTGTATTTAATGTCTCAGAATAGAAAATAAAATATCATATACAAAAAAAATACAATCCATTGCATAAAATTTAATGTCATACAAATAATCGTTACATGGAAAGATAAAACAAATCAATAGAAGTTGTAACAAAAATTTACAAACTAATTAGATACAAGAAATATAAAAAAATATACCCTCAACTGCTTTTCAAAGTCTAATCTCCATGTCAGCTCTTCAACGCACTTCTCCAGTTTGTCCTTAGCTTCTCTAAGAGCTCCAACATCTCTTGCAGCCTGTGACAACATATTATAATTTTTTAATTACTATTTTTTCTTATAATTCAAAGCATTTAGATAAAAGTGTAATATATAATACTTAGATTTTTTACAGAAAATCCATTCACCAGCTTCAACATTCTTAATTCTTTCCTTGCTACCTTTGAGGAAACTCTCTTTACTTGATAACTTTCAGCTGCATTAAGACAAAATACAAATCATTATATTTCTACCTTGTTCTTATTAACCTTTAATTGAATTTCAAAATGAAAATGACAAGATTTTCTTACATTGTCCATTTAACAAGTCTAGGCCTCTCTCATGTAAAATCTTCAAGTGAAAAACGTATCCAGACAAGAAAACATCAACACCTGCTTCATATGGACAATATTTCATTCCATAATCCTTCTCAAGACTAAACACAACATAATCAAAAACATTTGAATTTATGAAAACAAGTAAAGATAATATGCAATCCAGGGAAAACATGAGAATAATGAAAAGGAAAGAGCTAAACTTGGACTTTGACTTCAAACCGACTCCTTTTCAACTTCAATATTCAAGCTTTTCTAGGTGAATTCACTAACTCCTCTTTTGACCTGTACTAAAAATCATTTCTAGTGGTCTTACCAGGCATGTTAACTAATTATAAAACAAATCATATCAATATCTCAACTTTTTAACTAATGACAAAAATAACCTTGTCAATGCAGCGATCCACATCCAGAAGTTAGTAGAAGTAAGAGAGTTGCTTGTACACATCAGCCTCCGAATACTAGTCAACAATTAAATTTTCAGTTTTTGATGAAGGGTAATGACAAAAATAGTGTTTTTGACTTTGAGATAACAGAAGCACGCTAGTTACTAATTTTTTGATCATAGACTGATACAACCCATAATTGATTATTAGAGGCTGAACGATAAAAGTTTGGCTTGGGCCTGTGACTGGTTAAAATATAATTAACTCCCAACATTTCATTATTTCTAATCATATACAATTTTCATAACCTTGAGTTATTATTTATCAAATATATATAAATCTAACGAAGGTGTGTAAACAGGTCTTCCAGCCTCAAGATGCAACGTGACATGGTTTTCCATAGATGATAAGAGTGACATGTGCTTGATTTCAGTATACCCCTGTAAAAAAAACCATAATATAATAAGGAAAAAATATAAAATCAAATTTTAAAATACAAAAAATATAAAGACTCACAATGCTCTTGGCAAGTGCCTTTGCAAGAAGCTCTACTGGTGTTAGGCCGGAATTGTTTAACAACTCTTCAACAGCCGACTTGAAAACAGGGATCACACTGCAAAAAAAACATTTAACAACCATGTTATTTAACAAGTCAAGGTTATAATCATAAAATCACTACCAGTGTATTTTACCTATCAACAACTTGAATTATAGCTTCTGCAGCATCACCACCAACAGCTTTAGCAATATCAGCAGGTTGAGGGGCGTATATGTGTTCAAATTTCACACCTGCCTCCCTCTCTAATTTTGAAATATTTGAATTTCTGGGCTCATAAAGTGTAATTGCAACACCTGAATTTCCCGCCCTTCCTGTCCTCCCAGATCGGTGAATGTAGTCTTCAACATCACGCGGTGGTTCACACTGAAGGGGTAGAATCGTAATTTCAGCAAAAACAAGAAAAAAAAATAAACTGTGATATATAATTGTTTTGAAAGAATGTACCTAGATGATTAACTGAACATCATTAATGTCTAGTCCTCTTGCTGCAACATTCGTGGCCACTAGTGTCATAAACTTGCCAGATCGGAATCCCGCAAGTGTTGCCTATTATTATATATATATATATATATATAAAATATCATGAAAAGAAGTTTAAAACTTTATACAAAAATAATAAATAGAGTAGAATGATTTTGATTTAAATGTATCTCACGAAAAGACTGTTGAATGTCTCCATGAAGAGGGCGTGCTCCCTCCAGCACACCAGAAAGTTCAGTGAAAACAATTGTTCTTCCTCCACTGAAAAAAACAAAATCGAAAATTAAAGATGAGAATTTACAAAATTAGCCACAAAAACTAGCAAAGTCCTGAAATTCAATTTTCAACTAACCTGCTATGATGGCGAATGATGTCAGGAATGAACTGCGACCTAGTTGACCAAGAGCAAGGCATGATGATGTGTGTGACATTTTCACGATCATGGCTTTTGTCAAGACAAATGTGAGTTTAATCAAATTTGTTCATTACTTAAACACCAAAACCATTGAATAGCATTTTGTCCACACGTGATCTGTGAAATCCAATATCTGAGAAGGAAATCATTCTCTAATTACAATCAACCCCTCAAGTTTTGACTAAGAGCAAAAAGTTTCCCAGATTTTGTAACAATTACCAAACAGTCCCTAGACTCTTACCAGACGAGTTTCATAGCCAAATGATCTGCAATAGAGTGAGAAGAAATTGGCCGACTCCCCATAACGACCCTTCTTTGTTTGAAGAAGCTACACCATGAAAGATGCCATGAGTTTAAAGAATCAGAAAGTGATTTTAAAAAGTTAAAAAAAAATTATGTACCTTTATAGGATCATTATACTGTGGAAAACAGGTGAGTCTTGAACATGATCTACAACTGGTCCAAGGAAAAATACATATGAGAAAATAAAGAAAAGAAAGGGATTAAATTAAACAAGAAATAATATTTTTTTATACCCCTCAGGTGATAGCCCTCTGGCTGTAATGTAAGGCCTAATGGCCCTTATGGACCAAGCATTTTGCATGAGTACATGGACTAATATGAAAAGGAGTTATTCAAACCATTTATTGCATTGACATAATTACCCTCGGCCACATCAATGCTGAGTAAGTCTTTCCTCCCATTCTTTTCTAAGCCTGTAAATGCCACCTTAATGCTCAGTAAGATTCGTTTAAAATGAAAATATGTCAAGAATTTATTGCAATAAAACACACTGCTTGTTTACCTTCGTTTTAGAAGTAATTCTGGTTCAGTTATGCGTCCTGCATTACCAAATACTTCATCTTTGGGCTTGTAGATTTCACCCCTTCAAACATCAAAACAGATCCCGATGAACAAGCACACATCGTGCAAAAGATATGTCCACGGCTCAACGCGTATGGATGAAAAACAGTAGTTGAGGATCATGAGTAAAAGCGTTTTACAATTTATGTAATCTTAAGCTATGAACTTTTCATAATTTCGATATATAGTCAGTCATACCAAGCAAACAACACAAGTTAGACTGTATTCCAGAACTACATAATCTGGAAGCACCAATTTCAATACAAGTTTTGAAATTATAACACTGAGATCACAAGAGAAATAACTACAAAGCTCATAGCAGATCATTTCATTTGATTCACTGAAATTCATATAAAAAGCCACCAGTTCAATCAACCATGGTGATTATAAGATCTCCAAGTGTTCAGCCTGCAGCTTAGACCTGAAGTTCACACCACTTACAGAGTTGTGCACCTAAAAAACAAACATAAATCATAATCGCAACACATCAATCCAAAAAGAAAAGAAAAATCTGCAATCTAAAGAAAGAATAGGATATTTGCTTACTTTGTCGTATTTCTTAAGAATTTTCCTAAGAGCTATAGCATTCATGATAACATATTTGATTAGCATCTGCCCTTCCAGTACAAGTGCTTGTTGATCATTTTTGAAACATTGAAACAAGTGTAGTAACTATCTCGGCATACCAATTTTGCAATGAAGCTGGACAAGATGTCTGACTCTAGAGCTAATACACCCCATTATATCAGAATCTTCTTTCATTATCTCGCTGAAGAACATTCGATCACACCTTACGTTCATAAACAAATCATGAATAAAAACATCACAATCGTATACAATACATAAGACACATATTCATGATCTGTTCTTAAAATTTACATGATGTCAAAATTGGTAGTTTATAAGAGTTTGCAAGTGTAAAGAGCAGGATTACTAATTATAAACAATACAAACAAATGCATTAAGAATCGTAAAATCAGACTTTGATGCTAAGGATGGAACTTCCCAGTTCCCACCACCAACAATAAGAAGTACTCTCATCCAATCCAGTTATAGTGTCCCGTGACAATCTGATCCTAACCGACTAGTCAAATCTCCAATACTTTTCGAGTCAAAAAAGTTTGTCCTGTGAAAAAAGTGAGGTTACAAATGATGTTGATATATTATAATGATGTTTTTGTCCAGAAAGCGACATATAACCTTCTGATCAGATTACTAATAAAAATGGATTTATTGGGAAAATTGAACCTAGATACCAAGTCTTGTAGTTCAATCATCTTGTGCTCGAGTCATTTTGTTGCATATAGATAGACAAGGTAGCCAAAAGTGGTCTCATCGGGGTGAACACCTAACAGAGACATTATGTCGAGCACCTTGTGTGCATCAGTAACCGATTCTTGTTCAAGGAAACAACCCTACAAAATTGTGTTATAAGCAGACAAATTAAGTTTGTGATATATCAACCAATAGATCTGATAGTACATAAAAATATCTAAAATGAAAAAAAAACATGTTTATATACCTTCCCTGTACCGTCCATGGCGACTATAAGGGTGTAAGTTCGTTTAGAAGGAGAGGAGAGACGTATGTGAGAATTGATATTTTGGATGGGTGATTGAGTTGTGAAGAGTGAAGTGGAGTCGAGCTTCGAAGAGCGGTAAAGCCCGGAGAAAAGAGGCGGAGTAGCAGCGGGGAATTTAGGACTGGAGAGTTGGGATGCTGGTGTAAGAGAAATTGAAATTATCGCCAAAGTAAACCCTAATTCAGAGCTTGGAGTCCATAAAAATGGTGATAGCTGGTAGCAAGTGGTGAATGGGGGGACGGATGAGTATTGAATATGATCTAGGGTTCATTGTTGTTTGTAGTTGATACCATGGTTGCAGAGCGCAAAAAATCTAAAAGGGAGAAAGATTCACAACTGCACAATGCTAATAGGGTTTCTTCGATAGAGGATTTTTACATCAGAAGGAGGAGATGCATCACTTTGATAACATCAACATCAAAAAAGATGGAGGCGCGATAGGGTTTCTTCGATAGAGGATTTTACATCAGAAGGGAGAGGATCGGAAAACAAGCGGGGTTTTGAATTTTTTGGGATTTCATTTCCCACCTTGTATTAAAGGATGGAGGCGTGTTTCACCCAAAAAAAATATAAAACAACATTCTTACACGACACCCGTTTAACATAGGTGCCCTCCGTGTTTGTAATTTTTTTTTCTGTTGGACGCCAATTTCAGGGCACGCAAAAATGCGCGTCCACTACCCTTCATATTTTTAAAAACTGACATTATTTTTAGGACACACAAAAAAAGCGTATCGTAAATCAGTGTGTGTCATTGTTCGCGCGTCATTAAATGGCTGTTTTCTAGTAGTGATTATTATATAAGCGTTTAAACAATACTTTCCAACCACTATGTACAGACAGGGGCCAGACATAAAACACCGGAGGGCAGGACCATTTTGGCATATAGCACTTCTGAAATCCAACAACCCTATGCGGCCCTTTAAACCAGATTCCCCGTACCGTGAGTAGTTAAAAAGATATTAGAACGACACTTATATAAGTCATAATAATAGCTCAAATATTGATTATAAGTTCATAATAACAATACTAATTTTAAATATAAGCTATATTAAAATAGGTAAGCATAACTTACTTACAAGGGGGTTTTAGCTAGGAGTCGGGCTCTGCAGGGGCAGAACTTCGTCGCTGAATATTTCTAAGAAAGATTCGTGCAACGCTTCAGCGCTCACCTTACTATACTAAAACTACAGAAAGAGAAGTCGAATCACGAGAGACCGAAATTCTCGGGGGATAAGAAGTGAAAGACTCTTGAATCAAGAGAATGGGGCAAGAAATATGAGAGCCCAAGCCTCTTATTTATAGTAATTGAATTTACAAAAACTACCCTCCATAATTACTTAATGACCTTATAGTTATATAAACGACTAAACACCCTTTCATAATACTATTTTAAATAGATTTAACGATATTTGTACTAAAATAATGTCGAAAGTACTCAACACTAGTCTTATAATAACCACATCGTCGATACCTTTCTAAGCATATATACATTTGTATATATATGTGTACATATATATGATTTATACTTTATTTTAATACGTAAATATGCTATTATAATTCGTAACTTGTTCATACGAACTCCATTTTTGACGTTCTTTATATCCACGCGTTGGTATTTACAAGTACTACAACTTTCATTTAGACGCCGTCAGCTAATTCTCATTCTATCTCAGATTTACAAAACTATATCGAATTTATCGCGCTCGAAGAGTAGGGACCAAGTTTCGTCCATATCTTTAACATAAGAGCTCTACTCTCGACATTCTTTATATCCACGCGTAGGTAAAAACAAGATCTAAAACTTTCATTTAGACTCCGTCGGCTAATTCTCGACCGATCTTAAATTTAACAGTTGGAGGAGATTATACTGTTAAATGTCCGCGTAAAATTCATAACTTCTACATACCGTCTCCGTTTTCGTCTGTATTTTTACCGTTGAGTTTCTATTAATGAGATCTTCAACTCTCATTTAGGTCACGTAGGCCAAAAACAGCTCGAACTAAAATTCGAGTTTGGGGCGTGCACTGCTACGCCAAATCTTAGAAAATTCATAACTTCCTCATACGAAGTCAGATTTGGGCGTTCTTTTTTTTATGTTCTCTTTTTAACGTATACTACAAATTTTGTTTAGATCACTAAAGCTAAAAAGTCTTCTACCACAAATTCACTATTTACGTCTCCCGGTGCCGTGCCGGTTTTGCCGTAAAACTTCGACGGGCGATAACTTCTTCGTTATAACCCGGATTTCGGCGTTCTTTATATGTACGGAACCCTTGTAACATATACTACAACTTGGTTAAGATTAATCCTTTCAAATAATCTTCCATCAAAAACTCATTTTTGATGTTCATCGTCTTTATATTGACTAGCCCGGATCTGCGGTCGTTACACCCGTACCTCCTAGCCAGCGGAGTGTGGGCGGGGGCCCGTATCTCCTAGTTAGTAGAGTGTGGGTGAGGCTCGTATCTCTAAGATAGCTGAGTGTGGGCGAGGCCCGTATCTCATAGTTAGCCGAGTGTGGGTGGGGGCCCGTATCTCCTTGAGTGTGGGCGAGGCCCGTGTCTCTTACCTGCATGTTATATGATATGTGTATCGTATGTGGTAGTTTGGGGAGACTCACTAAGCTTCGTGCTTACAATTTTCAGTTTTAGTTTCAGGTACTTCCGGTAGCAAGGGGAAGAGCTCGGGATGACTGCAGTGCACACACCATTTGTTTATCCTGGGATGTTTTTACTTAGATATATTGATATGAGTTTTGATGAGATACTCTGATTTGATACTATGACTTATGTTTTTGGATGAAATGATTTTGATAATTATGGTTATTTTAATAAATAAAAACGAAATTTTTAGTCGTGATTTTTGGGATGTTACACGACGCGCATGTTCAAAATTTCCAAAAATTGACACTTTTCATCGCAAAAACTTTTGATACCCTGGATATTAAAAACCTTTAGAAGTTTTAACTATTTAGAAGACTAAGGGCAAGGAAAAGAGATTTCGTTGGAATAATAAGAAAATTTCCATTCTTAAGATGAGTTGCTAGGGAAGCAATATTAGCATACCATAATAAAGAAGCTCCATGAGAGTTGCTAGGAAAGAAACAATAGCATGTCATAATAAGGGAGAAAAACGACAATGAAAGGAAAGGTACATATGATACAAGTAAAGTCTTTAGGTTAAATAGCGATAAGAAGACAAGTTTCTAGGAAAGCAACTATAATACTCTATAAATGGGAAAAGTAGTATTGTCCCAATAAATGAAGGATATAATAACAACCCCATTCGTTAAGCATAGGAACATTGAGTAACCGTCTTGATGTCATTTCAGGATCACAACCCTTCAATGTTAACCTTGATTGATCCGACCACCATTCAAACCATGATTCATCGTCAAGTATTCGATGTGTTAGGGAATCTTAGAGCTAGTAAAGACGAGGGAAGCAATAAGGAAGGTTCTCAAATGACAAAAACCTATATGGATTTATTAACAACATGTCGAAATCTTTTTATGCAAAAATTGGAGTAGATAATTTGATCCACTAGATAAAAGAGATATAGATCAAGTGTACTAGTGAACATAGAGTTATGTTTGCAGCATGCACGTTTATGGGAAGAGCTCTCATCTGTTGGAGTATCCAGGTCAAGGCTATAGGCATATACGCAGCCTATGGAACCCCATATGAAGATTTAATGAAGCAAATGATAAAGGAATTCCATTCTGGAAAAGACGTGGCACCAGTAGAGCAAGAATTCGGTCATCTTAGCACCAAGGAATCATGCCTGGCCTTCTGTAATGTAGGCTTTGAGTACCAAGTCACTATATGCCCCGAATTAGTCAACTCGGAGATCCAAAAGATCAATGCATATCTCCAAGGGTTAGCTCCCCATTTCAGGATCGTGGTGCAAGCATACCAGCTGTAACATCGTAATTTTTACTCAAATATTTTTTAAAACACCTTTTTTAAAGAATACGTTTGCCGAAGACTTGGTTATTTGAAAACATTTTTAAATCACCAAATTACCTTAAAATCCATTCAAAATTTCAAACCATTTACAACATAACCAAAGTAAATATTTAATTTGATAAAATATCTAACGTGTCCAAAATGGTATCACTATAAAAAGCTAATTACCCATTATGATACCCAGTCTCACCAAGCCATGCGCCTAAACTACCTGCACCGATCACAAA